AATACAGAGTATTTCTTGAATTAAAGATTTGCTTGAATGGAGATTGCCTAACAGAATTCTAATATAAATACAGTCGTAGCCAACATCAGCAGAATGCTCACTGTCAGGCCCTGTTCTAAGTGCTTTACATGTAATAACCCATTTAAGACTCACAACCACACTATGAGAAAGGTACTTTTATTACAGCTGTTTCACAAATGGGCAAAACTGATATAAAGAAGTAAACTGACTTATCTAAGGTCATACTCCTATGTGGATTTGCTGCTAAAAAGTAAATTTTCCTGTTTCTGCTTCCTGCATTCTATCAGTGTTTCTTCTTTTTATAGCATTCTTTTAGTCTGTTTGGTGCCTCTTTTGATTCCTCCTAAGCCTCAACCTTTATTGAAAAAAGAGTGAGGTATAATTATCTTTATAAACCTCAACCTTTTTGGAAAGAGGGTGAGGTATAAATGCCATTCTTATTATAATGAGAAGGATTTATCTAATAATGAGAGACAAAAATTCAGATAGGGGAGAAATGTGGATACAGGCCATTTGAATGTAAACAGTTAATTTAAAGTTACTACTTTGTAATTTCATTACAAAGTAAAAAACACTTTAAATGACATAGGTAGTAACAAAAATTACTTTAACCAGATAAGATTTAAGATAATTCTGAGATCTGGCTGCTTATACTGTATCTCTGACAGCAAAAGTACTCATTATTTTCACCTGATTAATTTTCATGAGTTATTTCTTAAGTTCATTTTATTATTTACTTTTCTGTTGTAACTCTTTCCAGAATGATTTAATTAGGTAAGTGTTTTAATTCTTATCATCCTGTAGAAATTTCCTTCTAGTTCTCACTTCATGATACTTTCCCAACGTTCTATTACATGTGGACTAAGGAGAGACAAGCAAGACATTTCAAGCAAAAAAATTTAAAGAGGCTCTCATTGTCAGATATCAACCCTGAAAGTGATTGCTTCCTTACATTATAGTCCCCTGGGACCTCATGTGCCTCATCCTAGTCCCATTTCTGTATAAGAACATATTGTATTATAATATAAACTTTGTAATCTTTCTTTCTAATCTGGAGCATGCACTTTTAGTCCCACTTAAGAGATACAGAACCTGAAATTTAGACAGGTTTAGGAAATGTCCTAGGGTGATCACTGATAAGTGCTGCTGTATAGCTCAAGCCCCTTGTATCTAATTTGATAATATAATTAAAATTTTATAAATTACATGTTAGACTCAGATGATATTAGCCACAAAAAAAATGACTATTGTTTTGCATTGTTTAGCTCACACATTTTTGGGAGGTTGCAGCACAGACTACTGAGAGCAGTGAGTAGGTAATTTTAAGGGGATCTCAGAGGACCACAACCAAGTTACATGGTGTTTGTTTTTTATACTTTTCCAACCTACTTTTTGTACTCTCCTTATCCTCAATACCAAAAGCACTTATATCCTTAGGCCCATTGGTTGCTCAAAGCTTCCCAGTCTAGCTCTCTCATAGGGATGTTCTCTGAAACTCAGCTCTAAATTATTCCCTCATGATGTACTTACATGCAAGTTCCATTCCCTAAAGTGGTGGTGGAGAGAGAGCAATCTGATTGAATAATTGACTTACTACATATGAACTTGCTTGTAAAATAAACTTGTTAGAACTTCAGTTAATGTCTACTTGATTGGGTTGTGTAGAAACTATTTCTGTTGACTGTTTTACAAGACTATAGGGCAGGCAGTGCTCTTCACAAGTAAAACTATTTATGAAACAGAAACAACATACAACTTCTTTAAGTTTGCCAACCATACTTAAAAAATTTGCCCTGGGTATATACTCATTTCGTGAGGAAAGAAACAGATAAAACCACAGCTTCCATAGCTTCCAGCATCTTCCCCCATCCCAGAATATGGTGATAGACTGGCAGACACAGACTTAAAGATAAGCTGTGAAAGATATTATGCATGTATCTATTCTAGTGTGAGATAATTAATACAGGTAGTTTCTTTAAGTAGCAGTGAGATCTTCATTGTTTGGATTACAAATCAAAGAAGAAGCTACACAAATCAGTGTAAAATTGATTTTACACTGTTCTGAAAGCTTAAGCCATTTAAGATTGGCCTAAATGAATTTTCTCTGATGTAATCATCACTGAAACTCACTTTGAACAAACAGTACAGCCATTCAATCAAAGCTCCATGATAACTGGGTGTAAAGGAAATGTGACAGATGAGTGTAAAGTGCTTTTCAGCCCAGCACACTCTCATAAATTCAGTAAAAACAATTTATTCCAAATAATGTAATGTTTTATATATTCATATGAAACTTTCTGTTTATAATGAGCATCATTGTTAGAAGCTGAGGATACAAGAAAGGGAATTTTAATGACATAAATGACTTTTGTATTCTAAATTTATTTCATAGGTGTACACAAACTTATAGAAAAAACATCAGTTAGGCTCTAAATTTCAAAATAGTATAAGAAAAATAATTCTACATATATATTTGATGCCTAGCCTGTGGAATTTTTATGTGCATAGAATTTGCTTTTAATTATGAATCTTTACCACCCAATTTCACTTGTGATTGAAGTATATATACAATCATATGTCACTTAATGCCAGATATATGTTCTAAGAAATGAGTCATGAGACAACGTTTTTATTCTGAGAATATCATGGAGCATACTTACATAAACCTAAATGGTATAGACTACTGCACACCTAAGCTATGTGGTATAATTTATTGCTCCAGGATACAAACCTGTACAGTATGATATCAAACTGAATACTGTAGGCAATTGTAACATGGTGGTAAGTATGCGTCTATCCAAATATATCTAAACATAGAAAATGTACAGTAAAAATATTAAAGATAAAAAATGGTACACATGAATAGAACACTTATCAGTAATGAAGCTTGCAGGACTAGAAGTTGCTCTGAATGAGTCAGTGAGAGAGCAGTGATGATTATGAAGCCCTAGGACACTACCGTATACTACTGTAGACTTTATGAACACTATACTTTTATGCTACACACAAGTCATTAAAAAATCTTTTTATTTCTTCAGTAATAAATTAGCCTTAGCTTATGGTAACGTTTACACTTTATAAAACTTTTTTGTTAAGCTTTGACTCTTTTTAAATAATACTTAGCTTAAAACACCAACACAATGTACAGCTGAACAAAAATTAATTTCTTTATATCCTTGTCCTATAAGCTTTCTGCTATTTCATTTTTTCCCCTTTAAATTTTTTCATTAAAAACTAAGACACAAACACACAAATTACTACAGGTCTACCCAGGGTTGGCACCATCAGTATCACTGTCTTTCGTCTCCATATCTTGTTCCACTGGGCAGTAACACACATGGAGCTGTCATCTCCTAGGATACCAATGCCTTCTTTTGAGATACCTCCTGAAGAACTTACTTGGGGCTACTTTACAGTTAACTCTTTAAAAAACAAAAGTAGAGGGAGTACACTGTAAACTAATCATTGAAAAAGTTTGGTGTAGTAAAACATAAACCAGTAACCTAGTCATTAATTATCATTATCAACTATTATGGGCTGCACGTAGTTGCATGTGCTATACTTTTATATGGCAGTGCAATAGGTTTGTTTACACTAGTGTTACCACAAACATGTGAGTAATGCATTGCACTACAATGGCATAATGACTATGACAGCACTAGGTGACAGGAACTTTTTGGCTCTATTATAATCATATGACACCATTTTTGGGCATGTACTCCATTCCTGACTATAACATCAGTATGTATTACATGACTGTATATATGCATCTATATACATATATAAGATTTCACTTACATCAAATTATACTCATCAATTTATATGTAGTTACATTTCAAATTATATTGAATTATATTATTTTTAATACAGAAAAAGTCATGGTACTAGGTTAATGGCAGAAAAGCCCAAAGTGACTTATGGTGATGACTTAACAATGTTTGGGTAACAACTTTGCTACACCAATTCTTTAGAAATTGGACCCTTCCCAAAACAAGTAGCAAATAATACATAGGATGTAAATTTCATTGATGTGCTTGGAAAACCTTGCAATGTTCATAAAGAAATGATGGAATTTTATGGCAAGTGGTTTCCAGGGGCCCAGTACCTTCAATGATATACCTGATCTTTATGTTACTCAGTCGACTTTGGTTTTGAAACTGTACGTTATTAAGTGTATAGAACTAATGCCAAGGGGTTTTTTAAGAAAGCAAATGGGACTTTACAATAGAATATTGCCTGTTAAAGAAAGAATTTTCTTTTACACTCTGTTCTTCTCTATAATGGTATCAGACACTGGTGAAGAGTTAGGAAATATATGGGTTTTGTAATTTGACAATTATTAGTGTGGCTGAAAAATAAAAATAGCATTTAATTTCTTTTTCATCTGCAAGAACGCAGGAACACTTAATATTTATTGAATCACACACAAAAAAAAATAATCATTTGGAAAAAGCTGATGCTGGTTTCCAGATTAGTTATGACAATTCTTCCAGCTTTATATTGACAACCAATTTTTTTCTTCAAAGAATATTGAGAATCAAAATTAAGTGAAAGGAAATTTTGGTAATAACACAACACATGCATGTGCCATTGTTTCCTGATTTAAAAATTAAATTCATTATTCTACAGTTCAAATTTAATCAGTTCACCATTATTACAAAAATTGATCTGATAGCCACATACCATTGGAATGCAAATTTTGATGATGCTTATTTCCTGATTCATAATTTGGAGAAATGTCATTTTAAATCTACCCCTCAAGAGCTTCCCAACACGCCTCTTTCTAGTTAATATTTTTGAGTAGAAGTAGCAGGGAGCTCTGAGCAAACCAGCCATGCTGTCTCTCTTGTGCACACGGTAGGGGCACGGGCACTGTGGTATTGCTGTGTTGCTGTTAACTCACAGAGGTGCTGCCTTTCTTCTTTACCACTGCTTGCCTCCCATGGATTCCTCTGCTTCCCTCTGGGCCTCCTCACTAGCCTTCAGGCAACGTTTGGGTGACTCATGAAGAAATGGAAAATCTTGCAGCTCCAGCAAAAACGGTTAGTCTTATGGCTTTGTTGAACCTGAAGGAAAGTGACTTTGCTGCTCTTTGGATGAGGAAACTAATTTGTTTACTATAGACCAGAGAAATAGGGTGTGTTTTTATAGTTATATGCAGTAATAACTAACATTTTTTACAGTTATATTCTTCAGTATTCTCTTGAAATTTTTAAATGAAATAGTGTTAGATTGTGGCTAATATCATAAGAGCTTATAGTACACAAACAATAAGCAAGAATGTAATAAATCATGTTGCAACATTGGAAGTTTTTGTAACAAATATCATTTAGTATTGGACATGTTCACAGGTAACAGGTTTCTAAACCAAATTAAATTGGTAATAGAAAATATTAGATTTAATATTCATTTTTAATATGATCATCTGGTTTCTTGTGCTTTACCATCTTAGATACAAAGCTTGACCAAAAAAAAAAAAAAAAAAAAAAAAAAAAAAAAAAAAAACCCAAAAACCAAAAATGCTTTATGTTAATTTGGTATTGAAAAGCACAATTTTCAAGAATTTCGTGGGGACTCTGTAACTGTAACTTTCAAAAATAAACTGTTATAAAAGTCATTTTTTCATGTAAAGTAACAAAGTTGGGCATATCATATATTTTATCTTTATCAACTTCTGTTTAATGTCTTTTCAGTGTTATCCTTATTTGAAAATTATCTACAAATTTGTTATGGCTAAAATCACCAATGTCTTGTACTAATTTCGTTTTTAGTTTTGTTGTACTTGGTTTTTGTCTTGTTTTGTTTTGTTGACTACTGTTGAAATCTATTTGATTATCACAAAGCTTTGTTGGAGGAATATAGTTAGTTTTTTCACTTCACTAATTTACTTTGTATAAGATTTCCCTATTATATATACATATGCATATATGACATCAGAAATTTTTATTATAGCACATTACATTTTGAAAATTACACTCATTTAAGAATTAAAAAAAAGGTTTGGAATGACCAAATCAAATGTTCACAAAATTATGCATTAACATTTAAATTAGAATTAATCAAAAACTATATAGTTGCTGTGTAATTGCCTTTGAACTGTAAAATTGATCACTGTGGGTCTGAGTAAGAATCTATGTGTTTATCTGCCTGTGATACAAATTATTTTGTATAACAAATTTTGCTTCTGCTAGAAAAATTTTACTGTATTAATTTGAAATTAATTTATATTTACCTGCTTTATTAATCATTTCCTGCTGCTAACACAGAAAGAATCTGAGGAAGGAAGCTGGGCCCAGGTAGGAGATACATATGCTTTAAGACTCTTAATATCATTTAATAGTCTCTGAAGATATAAATTAAGAAACTGTCATAAGTCACAATATTATAAGCCTTCACTTAGCTCAATATTAGGCTGATCTGTATATGTAATTCTAGATTATGTTTAGCATTTTAGATGTCTTTTCAAATTACAATATTTTTCAAATGACTGCCATTTCATACCTTGCCTCTTTTAAAAGGGTACTTTTCTTTCTTTCCCAAAAGAATGATACAAAACTTAAATTCCTCTGAAATCATTCTTGAATATATTTAATCAGGAAGCATTCAAGTTGAATCTAAAAGGGGAACAAAAAGAAAGAAAAGACTTATTTGGAGTTGCACATGCCTTCAGATATAATGGAAACTGTATGAGGGGGTTGGAGGTGTATGTGTTGGTGTTGTAGACTACAGAGTCATCAGCATTGATTGAGATGCCATATGAGACAGCTGTCTATACTTGGAACAGACATACATGTTTTTAAGGATGCTGTGCATTTTTTCTACATTTCCACATATTGGATGGCTGAAAGAGAAAATTTGTGTTATATTGAATCTGATCGAAACCTTTCAATATAAGAAAAATTTTGGTAGTTATATTAGGACCTGTATTTAAACACACAGTAGGATTGTATTAGATTATGATTTTGATAAAAATTTCATTCCTGAGAACACAGAAAATAAGAGGAACAGTTAGATTTTCACTAGAAATACATCTTAGAATTGGAAATTTAGGGCATGATAAGGAGCTAAATAGGAATTCTGTAAAAATAATAGAGAATAATAATTCTTTTAAAATATTTGCTTAGTGTTAATGGTTGATTTTGGTTTTCATTTTAGCTGTTTTGAACAATATTGGTAAGAATAGTTTATTTGTTATATTAAAGAATTAGGTTATCTTAGTTTTTTATCCTGCCCTGCTTATTTTAGAGTCTATCTTGACAGATTTCTAGAAAAGACTGATTCTTTTCAACGATTTTGTGGAAAGCTGACTACCAGCTTTGCTAGGTAACAACAGTGTTCATACAAAGCTTCAAAATTCTGTCTCTCCAAACCCTTCATTCCTTTCTTTGTTTACTGAGGTTACCATTTCACATCAACATTTGCCATTACACTGTGGCAATATGGCAGTAGTGGCATTGATAAGAGGGAAATGGCAATAATGGCATTGACAAGAGGGAAATGACAGATATAAATAAAATGAGATAAATATATCAATATAAAGACAGAATCTTAAAGCTCAGTGTTTAATAACTTCATTATTAATAAAATACATACATGGACAAAATGTAATTCCTTTTGAAAATACAAAATAAATAGCCAATCATTTTCAATAGGCAAATACTTTGATAAATGTATGCAGAGTTCCATTTTGTACCAAACCAAATCGAATACATACAATCTGAATATTATTTTTGCTTCATTTTCACAAATCATAGCAATTAAATATCAGTTATACTAATAGGTAATATTCTCCAATTACCATCTCATCTGATTGGTTAAGAAACTTGACTGCTATAAAACAATTCTAGTGTCCGGTTTTTCTACAGACCCTGGCTTATGGAGATATGAACCACGAGTGGATTGGAAATGAATGGCTTCCCAGCCTGGGGTTGCCTCAGTACAGAAGTTACTTTATGGAATGCTTGGTAGATGCAAGAATGTTAGATCACCTAACAAAAAAAGATCTTCGTGTCCATTTAAAAATGGTGGATAGTTTCCATCGGTAGGTTTTTTTTTTTTTTTTCTAAAGAATAATAAAAACAAAACAATATATTACCTATACCTTACTAAAACAAAAATGGATGTCTAGGAGATACAAAATATATGTCATTTGAAACATCTACGGACATCTACTTTGAAAAATATTTTCATGAAGCAAACTGCAGGAACTTTCTAACTTAGAACATATTATGTTCCCAAAGTCCATGGAAATACATGTGTACAAAATTATCCTCATAGGGATGAGTCTATTTTTTGCCAGATTCTTTGAAAATTCAGTGTTTATAATTTTATAGTTGTGTTTATATTAGAAAATTATGAAGAATAAACAAATATTCATAGTTTCAAACCTACGCAAATATGCGATTATAAATTTTATAATTTAGGAACATTCTAGGAGTAACTTTGAGAAGAAATTATTATTCTAAGACGTATTTGTGTTTATTTTTCTGTCTTTTAGTGACTTTGCTTATTTGTATGTTAATTTCAGTAAAAGCAATACTGTGTTAGACAACTGTGAAGATGCATATGAACAAAAGGCAATGTGTTTTTTCAAGTTATTTATCATCCAGCAGATAAAAAGGGGTTTGTTATAATACCATATTATAAGTGCTGTGTTTGTCTTAGGTGAAACAATGTCAGCTGGATTTTGGTTATTTTTTTTTTTACATATAGTTGATTGTGGTTATAAGTTAATATAACTGTAGATGATTTTGTCTTGGGAGACTATATTTGCTTCTTTTCTGTCCAACATTTAATCAGTGACTGAAAGTGAAGATGGTATAAAAATTAGATACGTTGATGACATAGAATTAGGATAAATAGAGGATAATTGGGGCTTTTGATTACAACTTATTTAGATATTTTGAATTTTAATGCAGTTGTTAACACTGTTGAATTAAATGTGGTAAAGATAAATAGAACAAGTTTTTTAGAAAACTTATTGTTATGCTGAATAATCCATAATTTAACAGAAACTTGTATGCAAAGGAGAAGGCATTTATCATTGGCACAAAACTCTCCATTTTGGTTAATGGCTTGACAGGCATACTTAGACTGTGTTTATTGGCAGGGACAACAAAAGTGCTACCATATGGTGACATAACAAAAAGAAATTGTATTTTTTTGTCGTCATCAGATTGTTAATAGTGATAGAAGTCTGGTGGTAAAGTTGAAGTAATTAAAGACATGTAAATGGGATGAGGGAAGACTTTAGATAAGTTTTCTTATGTTTTAAGATCATTATTATGTGATAGAAGAATTATATTTTCTCTGTTGAGCATGTGAATTTTCATTTAACACAGGTGTAGATGCTAGGGTGAGTGACTTCTAGTTACTAGAAGAAACGACTTTGTACTGCTCTCAGCTGCCTTGTAGTATACACACTGTGAGGTAGTGAGTGAGGTTCCTGTCAGAGAAGTTTAGGCCTTCATATTTCAGATGATTGCATTAGACTTCTGGAGTCCAGTTTTTCTATTCCTCACTAGATCGACTTTTAATACTGTTTCATTACTTTAGTAAAAAAAAAAATTTATAATGATGAATTTTTTTAAAGAATTACCCAAATGACAGGATTTTTGTTCCGGGAAATACCCAAGCTTCATTTTTAAGTTATGCTAATCTCTGACTTAAAGCAGGTACTACCTGACTGTATATTGCATCCTATGGTCTTTTCCTCCCAGTTTTCCATCTGACAGATGGTTTCATAATACTATATTTCCTCTGTATAGTGTAATTTTGTATTCCATATCAAAACTTGGCAGAAACTGACCAAGAAGCATTGGTTTAATCTCAAGCTGTGATAGTGATTTTATCAGTGTTATCTAGTATACCACTGAATTAATTTGCTACGGATGCCATAACAAAACACGACAGACAGTTGGCTTAAACAAGAGAAAATTATTTTCTCACAGTTCTGATGGCTACAAGTTCATAATTAAGGAATTGGCAGGTCTGGTTTCTTCTGAGGCCTCTCTCATTGACCTGCTGATAGTCACATTCTCTCAGTATCCTCACATTATCTTTTCTCGGTGAATGTATATTCCTGGTGTCACCAAGTGTCCAAATCTTTTTTTAATAAGGTCACCAGTCAGTTTGGATTAGGGCCCACCTTAATGGACTCATTTAAGTCAATTACCTCTTTTAGGGCACTATCTCCAAATGCAATCACATTCTGAAGTACTGAGAATTAGATCTTCCACATGTAAATTTTAGGGGAATACAGTTCAACCAACAACACCTACCTAATGCAGTTTTCTTTCCATTTTCTCTGATTCTGAAGTATTTGACCCAACATTGTTTTTATTAAAATGCAGGGCTTAGAAATGCATCTCACATGTAAGTGTAGCCTAGCCAATATATATGTCAAAATTTATGTTCCTAAACACATAAAACATCACTGATAATCAATGATCTCTGCTCTTGAAGCCTACAGATTATTTTTTTCTATCGCATCTTCTGCATCTTTATATCTAATGGCACTAAACCTTCTCATTTTCTCTCTCGGAACATCTTTGGTTTCTAGATTTTCATTTTATGCTCAAGGCTATTGTCCTTATTTTGGCAGAACTGACCCTTTCATTGGTTTCTCTGTCTCCTGTGATTTCTTAGGTTCTGTGTCCTATTATTTAACTTACTTATGTTTTTGTGTTATTTTTCTCATCAGCTTAAGAAGAGAGTATCCATTGCTTATAAATTTCTGTCTCCATAATGGGGACTTTTAAATTCTTTTCAAATGAATCTAATATTAATTTGCCTACACCTACTGTAGGAATAGCTAAATGAAACACAAAGACATATAGATAAACAATATAATCCATGATGATTTCAAAACTATGTCTTTCTTATTTTGAAAATATTTTTTCCTATTATTTAGAAACATTTTGTGCTTAGAATTATTATAATTGTATTTCCCTCCAATACTGAAGGATTTTATTACAAATGTAATTTATTAACTTGCCCTAAGAATCAGTACATAATGTCGACTATCCACCTGCTGAATAAACTCAATGTGTGTTCTTTTATTTAAAAAAAAATAGAACAAGTTTGCAATATGGAATTATGTGCTTAAAGAGGTTGAATTATGACAGAAAAGAACTAGAAAGAAGACGGGAAGCAAGCCAACATGAAATAAAAGGTAACATGTCTTTCTTTCACATGAAATGTCTTTTTTTCCTGGGTTTTTAGCTTTCACATTTATTAACCTGTAATGTTATATGTGTTACAATGATCATTAAGTAGCATAAGTATTTGGCTAGAAGTGTTGCTGCTTTTTTTTTCCATTCTTTTCTAATTAAAATACAGAAAATGGTATCACCACATTATAGTGTGAATATCCCATTTGGGGAATAATCTTGAGTTTTTTATTGAGATTTATTTCTCTGAACCTATTAATTATACATTCTGCTTGTACTGAAGATACCTCCATGTAGATATTTTTGTCAAACTTTTAATGGAACATTCTCAGTATGATTCAGAGAAACACAGTATATCATTTTTATGGCAGTTCATCTTTGGTTTATATCATTTGAATTTCATTTCAGTGCCCAGCAATTTTATTTTTATAGTATTGTATAGTTAAAGAAAGTATAGCGATTTTATGCAGAAATGATATAAGGATTTTCCCCTATAAACCAAACTAGTTCATTAATAATTTTAGCTGGTATTATCAGGAACATTATAAATTGCTGCAACTACTATGTGCACAAAAGTTATTTTTTTTGAATAACAATACTGAAGGATTTGATTGCAAATGTAATTTATTAACTTGTTGCCCTAAGAACCAGTGCATAGAAAAGACACTCCATATTGCAGGTTTGTTAGAAAAAAATACTGTCTTTAAAAACTAATCATCTAAATATTCAGAAGTACCTTAATATACAGGAGAAAGAATAATTTCAAAAGAGGAATATGTTAGATTCTATTCTTAGAGATGATTTTTTTATTGTTGTTGTCCAAGGAAAATTTAATTTCTGAATATAAGATATAGGTAAAGGTATTTTTTGGTATATTAACATTTAGCACTGTTTTATTCTTTATTTAAGATATTTACTTTAGGTTTCTATAATTTTCATTTGTGATAAACAATGTCAGAAATTACTTTTTTCTTTGGCAGTTCTTGGAAAGTACATTAGTTCTAATAGAATGGGCTTGAATGCATGTGAAAGTGATTGGTTAAAAATAGTTTTCTATGTATGGCTCATCAGAGAGTAGACAGACTCACAATGGATTTCTTGTAACACTTCATTTGATGCATTAGTTTGAAGCAGGAAAGTGTTTTTCCATTATCAAAATAGAGTTTTCTGGTTTCACTTTATTTTGGGGCCCCAGGAAATTGCAGTTTGTTTTTAGTGCATTGCTATTCAGTTGAATTGAAATTTGGGAATTAATGGACCAAGGAAGATCCCAGAAGGAAGTCTGCATTTGACCAAAGAATGTCTTAGCACACAAATAGATTTTACCCATGGGATACCACTTTGTAGTTTTCTTTCTGAAGTATTTTTTATCCAATTAGTTTTTATTATGCCTCTCCTCGCCACATGAAATGTTTCACATATAGATAGATCTAAAGGGAAAGAATTACCCAGTTGGCCCCATACCAAATGTTATATTAGTATTTGCCAATTGCTGATTAGAGTGTAGCTGAGGGGAAGAAAAAAAAAAAAAACTGCCATGATTCACTATGATAACACACAAACAACTCTGTCTGATAAATAACTGTGAGTGAGATCATAAATAGCTTGTTTCCTATGACTGATCTGGTTTAACATTTACAGGAATAACTCTGAAGTGTGACTAGGGGTCTCTTAGTAGCTGAAGTGTTAATTAACCTTGATCTTAATGAATAGTTTTCTGAAGTGAAAAGATTATGTGAATATCAAGAACATACTAACGTTTAATTCATTGCTAAGAAGCAGTGAACACTGATCTCTAGCCATTTATTGTTTAGGTCAAGAAGATTTCTACACAGTTTTAAAGTCAGGGCATACATTGCTTGGAAACAGATTTATGGAAAGGGATCTAACTTTAAAAATGAAAAAAAAAAACATTTTGTTCTGAGGAGGAAAAGTTTGAATTCATGCTTTATTTCCCTTTATCTCATAAACAGATCATTTTAAATATTTGATCACTCTTAACTACGGGTGTGTCATGGAATTTTTGATGGGCACATATTTTCAGAAATATAATGACCACATAATATGTCTTAGACCATCAAAATATAGACCTAACTCTAGAAAAAAAACAAACATTTCCTATTTACAAATTTATCTAGTAAAGTGCAAAGAAAACTGGATACTTTTTTTATGACAGCATTGTCACATTCATTTTTAAAAATGATGTGTTTAGTAAAATTAAGTGGAGAGCTATTGCTGTCACCCACAAGCACTTGCTGAGCTTTTGGGTTTCAAGTGTAGGTAACTAGTTGTTAGAATGAATCAGTAGCTATCAACTGCAGCTGATTATATAGCCAAATGTAATACTAACCAACTCACATCCCATTTTCTGAGATCCAAAAACCTCGATGGAACAAGCTAAGGAAAAGTCATATGAAAAGCTACACTTCAGAACTAACTCACAGAGACAATTAACATACATAATATAAAATTTCCCTATACAGTAAGGAGTATTAAAGGAAATCCTTTGATTTGCTGATGACCAGGGTAAGAAAGAGGCAAAACTGAGGGGAACAATAAATATCATACTTCCTACAGAAATTTGTTCTTGCAGAAGGACTGTGGTACGTGGGCATTCCTTCTGTGTTCCTTGTTACCTAAATCCAAAGAAAGATTTAGGACCTGCTTTTGAAATGAGATCATTCAACCCACGAAAGGAGTGAAGCAGAGAGATAGATATGAGGCAGATATATATATATATATATATATATATATATATATATATATATATATATATATGGCTGCCAGATTCATGTACAGATGTTTTGCTAGCACTGTGGATTGGCACAGACAGAAAGAACACCAGCTAATTTGAAGAACTTCTACTTCTGATAGATTGGAGTACATTAAGTCAGACCAATCTTCCACCAAGAAGAGATAAAAAGGCTAGATAAATCAATAAATAGTAATAATGACATATTTGAAAACAGTAGAAATCAATTAAAAGGGACAGGACTTGAGAGGTTATGATCTTGGAAAAGAGAAAAATGTAAGGAAATGGTAACCCTGTCATTCTCTGTTTTTTCTGCATCTCACAGAGGAGCAGGGAACAGGGTGGGGTGGAGGTGGGGAGTGGAATTTAGAGATGCCAAAACTGCCAGGCCATCAAGGGCAAATAATCTGTAAAAAAAATAACAATAATACAATAAGTAAGCCTGACCTTTTATAAAATACTCCTCTGGAGACATTCATGGACTTCTAAGAAGGATGGAATTAGAAGCTAAAAACTGAACAGAAAGCAGAAGCCAAAGGGTAAGAAATCTAGAAAGAGAACTATTGTAATCTTACAACAATACAGTAAAAAAAAAAAAAAAAAAAAAAATCAAAGATCATAACCACCAAATATACTTTCGTTTGAGGTCTCTGATAAAACACACCCTAGGACTAAGAGTAGACTTAAACAGATCAGGGTATTTATTTATTGTAATGTTAAGTATTATTATGTATATTTGAGATTTAAACATGGTATTATGGAACACATATAGGTAGTAAAATGGTTACTATAGTGAAAGAGTTCCTAAGCTTTATTTTGAAATGATAAAATCTAGCATTATCTCAATCCTTAATTGGAATTAAGTTGATCTGCCCTTATTGTAACTGCAGAAAAACATAAAAGTAAAGTCCTCTCAAGAGGAAGCTGACATTCAGAGCCTCTGCAGGTTTTCAGCCATGTTGTATGAGAGCAAATAAAAGAAAAACTCAGACATGTCAGATAATGGACAAAATGAGAAAAACCAAGATGATAAAATCGGAAAAGAGAAACATATTCATAGTTGACCCTGACACTGTTTATTTAAAAATGTGTAGGGAATATAAGTGACAAAAATGGAGAATTTAATATAGCTGGAATCAATATGTTTAACAAATAATCACATGTAAATTTGAATAATTGAAAAGTATAAAAACTTAAATTGAGAATGCAACAGGTGATTTATTAGTAGAAGAGAATGTAGTGAAATAAAAGGTCACTTGAAAACATCTAGCCCCGCATTTCACAAGAAACAAAAAGGATGAGTGATATAAAACATCACGAGAGACATACTGGACATCGTGAGGTAAGAGACAGTAAGAAAGAAGCAACATTTGAAAAGATACTGGTGGAGGCATAAAAAGAAAATAACTGAAATGATAAACCACAGACTCAATGGACCCCAAGTAAGATTAAAAATAAAAGGGGAAATAAAACGCATCTAAACACATTACAATAGAGCTACTGAAAACCATGACTCCCCGCTCCCAAAAATCATAGAATTGGCAGAGTAAATCCACAGTAATTTCAAAGGCACAATGTAAGATAACTGACATCACTCAACTAAGTAAGGCTAGAACAAAATGGAATTATAGCCTTAAAATGCTGAATCAAACTAATTTCTTACTTTGAAACATGTCCATCAGCATTAAAGACAGAATTAATACACTTTCAGACAAACAAAATCTGAGAGACTATTTCACCAGAAAAAACAAATAGAAAAGAAATACTAGAATAAGTGATTCAGGCAGATGGAAATGATCATAAAGATAATAAAAAAGGCACACATGAAGGAGAATGGAAAAATATATGGTTAAATTTCATAATAATAATATCTGCAGGGCTTAGATTTTACATAGAATTAAAATATATAACACAAAGGCAGAAAGGGAATAAGTGAAATTAAATTGAAAGTCTGCATTATCTAGAAAATGATAAAAGGAATAATTTATAGTAGACTCTAATAAGAATACATATTATAAGCTTTAAGTGTCATTACTAAAATAATAATATAAAGTATAAATATATACTTTATATAAAGTGGCTCATGCCTATAATCCCAGCACTTCGGCAGGCCAAGGGAGGCAGATCACCTGAGGTCAGGAGGTGACACGAGCCTGACTAACATAATGAAACCCCATCTCTAGTAAAAATACAAAATTAGCTGGTGTGGTGGCATGCACTTGTAGTCCTAGCTACTTGGGAGGCTGAGGC